CCAGTCTTCATACAAGTGCACGGAAGTTTTCAGAATTTTCCGTTTACGTTTTCATGACAAAAACACTGATGTAATGCGAGAAAAGGCGATCCCGAAAACCCGGAAGTAGATACGGGCACAGATACCGGCACATTTTCGGACACATTTGCAGAGGATCGAATTATGGATTTAGGTTAGGTTTATGTATGGGTCACTCACCGCTGATGTTCAGAATTCTTTGTTCAGTTTTCATGCAGTTCCAGAGAGTTCTAGTTTGGAAGTTGCCAGCTTAACTGTTGCTAGCATAGCCACGGGAAAGCCTTTGGGAACTATTTTATTTTCTGTCATTAGATAAACCTTTCGGCATTCCTAAAAGCGGACTGAAGTTTATGTTGTGTGTTCTGTTGGTATAAAGCCGTATAATAAGCGGGATAACGTATATTACGCAGGTCATTATCGGAAAATAAGTACCTTCAGGGCGGAAGCAGCACGTCGGGGTCCGCTTCGCCCTGTCGGTATTTATTTTCCGATAATGACCTGCGTAATATACGTTATCCCTTACTTATTAGGTTGTGTCAGAATTAGACTGTTTCAAAGATAGATCTTATCATATCTTATCTTAATATTGCGTTGAGTTGTCCATTACCGTGGCAACAGGGCTTACTTGTTACCTGAAATTTCCCCACACAAATAAAGCATTTCTTAATTCATCATTTTGAAACCCATGAATAGATGAACGAGCTTTTGCCGTGTCGTCTGTGAACTATTTTCTGATGTGCATGAATTGACGCAGTGAACTAAGGCCAACTGGGGATCATCATATAATAGTCCCACCACCCTGATGATACAGACCACCCGCTGTGTGACACAACGGAGACATCGTGAGCCTTTGCATGGCTGCGAGCAAAGCTGCAGGTGGCTGTCTTCTGCTTAAATCATCTGACTTTTCTCTCCTCACATGGCCCCAAAAAACCTCACATAGACACACACACACACACACACACAGGCACACACACACACACAGTCACACAATGTACCTCCAATGTCACAAGAGCGAGAGTAAGGACGCCCCGGGCTTCAAATGAGAGCTTGGGGCCCTGAATGAGCAACAGAGCACAGCGGACGAGGAGAGAGGGAAGCGAGAGAAAGATATAGGAGGTGAATGGGCGAGGGGCAATGCTTGGAGCGTCTGTTAGAGCAGGGAGTGATAAAAGCAGACAAGGTTACAGATCACAGACAAGGGAGGGATGTGGGCAGTCATGTACAACTACATACCTACAGCCTGACCGGACCACCAGCCAAACTTGCACAACAGGGGTCAAGTAACACGCACCTGTTTTTTTTTGTGACATGATCTGAAGGAGTAAGTAATTAGATTTGGTTAAAGAATGTATGAAATGCTGTGGTGTGTTTGTAATTAGAGAGGCTACTGAATTGTGTCAACGTAAGACTTAATTGTATGGGGCAAATTCAAACATAAATGCTATTGTTATGTATTTCTTTGACCACTTTTATCAAGCTAAAGGAAAATGTAAAATTGTTTTGTCATACTCTGTGCAAATATGAAGCTCTTCTATGGTATGAAGATCCATCCATTCATCCATTTTCTTCCCCTTAATCCATTTCTGGATCTTGGGATGGAAGTCAGAGCTGCACCCGTACACATAGAACCAGCCCCTCACTGATCCTCCTGCAGGTGGTGAGTCCACAGCGGCCTTGATCTTTCAGTGGGGGCTTCAGGCAAAGTGGGAGTCGTGAAGGAGGTCTTACAGTGCTGGACTCAAACCCACGACCTTCAGGTCCAGAGGCCAATGCTCATACCAACTGACCCACTGTCACCCCTTCACTGGTATGAAGATTGTATTTTATATTCAGGGGGTGTCGATTAGCCAAAGAGACTAACCCTAACCCTAACCTTTGCTTTAGTACGTTTGAATAATAACATGCGTACTAAAGTTGTGCTTGCTTTTGTGCGTTTGTATATTTAGATTGCATTTATCACAATGAATCTGGTCGCATTCCCCATTTTCACCTACTTCTGCATCTCCTGCTATAGAGGGTGCCATTATCTCTGTGATAATATGTAAGAAGCCTCTACACTATGGTCTTAAAGTTTGTACGCTTTTTGTCTTTTCAATGTTATAAATAGACACAATACAGTGAAATGTTTTTATTATCCAATACTTTATAATTTTTTGGTTTAAAATTCGTATTTTCCCCCAAACCTAATAAATACCTAATTAAAACAGAATTTAACTTCAATTATGACAAGTCACTTTATTTTTTTTACGAGGCCATTAAAATTAGAAACCACTCAGGCAAACAAAACCAAAATTATAATTAGTATTTTTCACTAACTAGAAATTCACAAAAACAAATCTCAATCTATTCAGCCTTTAGGTACATTGTTTTGTTGTTGCATATGCTAATTTACAAGTAGAACGTTTTTTTTTTTTTCCTTGCACGATTTAATGTGTTGGAACAATTGCATTTTAAGTGGTGGTTTCTGATCTGTTTTCCTTAACCTCGCTTTGCACAAACACTTAATTGTTATTGTTGGGAGCTGACCCCAGATCACAGCCTGAAGGCAGTTTGTTAAGTCTGCTCTGGCGAATACATTGCAGACGGGTGTTGTCCAGAGTTGAAGTCTATTAGTTAGGAGTTTATTTACAGCCAAATGCTCAGGGTCCCGCCTCTGTAATGATGTTTAGAGAGAAAAACAGAAAAAAAAAAGAAAAAAAATTGAATGAAAGGCTTCAGAGCATTTGCATTATTCATGAGTGTCATTATCAAGCACATCCAGACAGAATGCACACAATAAAGCACACGCAAACAACAACACATACTCTACAAATCTAACCCGGCGAGTACCGTACACGAACTGGTCATTATGTGCGCTTATTGTAAGACCTCACTTTTTGGTAATTTATCCTACTGCTGAACTCGGAGCCAATTTCCTCAGCATGACTCCCATTTAGGCATAATAACCGACAACAAAAACACAACTGGAGCTACTCCAACCAACCAAGGGAGGGAGCAGCAAGGGAGTAAGTAATACATAATAATATTCTCACCTCGGTAAAACCAACAAACTCTTCTTTCCATTGAGAATATAGAAAGATTATTTTGAATTGATAAAAAAAGGGAAGCAAATGATTTAAAACTTAAAAATGAAGCAGTCATATACAAATGAGTTTGCCACGCTCAAAAAGACAATACCTTTGTCAGTTGTTGGGAAGAATACTTTACTTCACAATACTGAAAAGTTCAGTTAGAATGTGAATTTTAACATGGATCTTTACAGGGTTCAATCATCGTACTGTATTCAGAACACTTGTGCTTTAAGAAGTAGACATACTCAGTGCTGACGTCGTCTTATTGCTGATCAGAGATACACTTAGTAAAACCATCTAACTCTCTTATTGGGTACAGACATTGGTTGGATTGGTGGGCACAAGGACCACAATAGAAAGGAGGGAAACTAGAGCTGTCAAACTAAACTAGTTAACTCATAACATTAATCATATGTTCTGTGGTCTCCCAACACCGAAGTATTCTGTGAGCAGCACAGAGGTCACAGCAGTGCTGATATCATCAAGATAATATTCCATCTCACTTGAGTGAGCATGCTTTGCTCTGCGAGAAGTGAAGTAACTGCGTTTCTCATTGGTAAGTGTTGTGACGGGAGAGCTCTGGGAACATGTGCCACAGTGGGGCGGCTGCGGCTGTAAAGTGCCAAACTGTTGTTTTGTCCTTAGACAAGACACTTCACCCAAAAGAGTCTGGTGTGTGCATGAATGATTCATTCTCTATATTTTGGCCAGAATTACCTATGTGTGTCATCTGCTGCTGTAACTACCAACTATATTGACTGAACTTCATTATTATGTTTTAGTTTCAACCAATCTGTTTTTATAGTGTACTTTATACAGGTTCAATGGGTGGGCTCACTATTTGAAATCGAATGTGGGGAGAAAAGTTGCCTGATTGGTCCAGCGTAAGGGGTCATGCTAGGACTTACAAAAATATATAAAAATTTAAAACAATCACAGGAATCAAGTTGAGCTGTAAACTTACTTTTCCAAGGAAGTGACTGCATATTATATACAGTATATATAATATATATATATATATATATATATATATATATATATATATATATATATATATATATATATATATACTGTATACTACCTAAATGTAGCTGTATTCAAAAAAATTTTTTTTTCACTTTTCTGAATGTTTATTCTCATTACCTGTGTAGGGTAACTATTTATATGTATTAGGTGTAATAATACTCCAGATTATGTTATGAGAAGAATAGTGCGGCTAGTCTTCAAATCAGAGTCTGGCCGTCCTATTCGAGTGGGGGATCTGCTTTATATTTATTTAGGCACCAGCAGTGTATGACACACTGCACAGATCCAAACCAACTTTGCCTCGAGTCAGTCTTATAAATCTAATAGGTAGTGAGTACTTTTATCGGCCAGTGATATTCCGAGATCTAACAACGCGACTCTGAAGGGGTTGAGTTAAAAAAAAGTAGTTTATTGATTACAAAAATGAGGGTAAAAATATAACGAAAAGGGATTTCTGGTCACATTAAAAGCAGGAGTTGTACACATATCATTCAAATCATACATTTAACAAAGGAACAGTCTTACTTTGAAGGAGCGTAGAGGATGGAGAGGATTTGGGTTGGGATCAGTCCACGTGGTTCCTTTGTCTGGGCAGGCGGGAGGTACAAAGCCAGCGAGTTGGTCCAGCTGCTGGTCCACGCGTATGCAGCTCAGTCCGGAATGGGTTGCACGCGTATAGTCCAGAGCCAAGGAAAGAGGCTGGTGATGAAATGGTTCGTAAGGTCCCGAGCCAGAGGAGAGTATGTTTGGCGGAGTAGAAGGCCCGATGCGTGCTGGCGCGACCGTAGTAGGAGACACGTGCCGCGGGACGCCGATGGCCAGGGAGGTTGCGATAGTGATTTCAGGAGAAGGCAAGAGAAAGAACAATGGCGTGTGCGGGTCTTATATGGCTTCCAGGGGCGTGTCCATGCCGCCCCCCTCTGTGGACAACCCCTTTTACAACAGACAGTTTGTAAAGGAAACACACAGGATTGATGCTAATAATCATAAGACATGTACAAACACACACCGTATTTCATTACTTTGACATTGATACACACATATGGGGCACAATGCAGATTATTGGAGTACTGGACCCAGGGGTACCGGTTCGCAATTGTCCGTCCCGGGTGTGATAGTGTCCATTGTTCACAAGGGGGCGTCAGAGCGCCGCGGGGGAGTCTTTGATTGTCCGGTGGCAGGAGTCTGTGAGCGAGGGCAGGGTTGTGATCTTTGATCTCTACAGGCAGGCAGAGACAGAGGTGCTTATCCCCGTGGTGACTTTATTGCTCTTTTTGGCATCTGTAATCCTCATGATGATGACGGCTTGTGGCTGACCCCATGGCTCCTTTGAAGCTGTATCTCTCCATTTGGTCAATGGTAAACAGAGTGGACAGGCTTGGTCCTGCCCTAAGTTTAACCTTACATACCCCCCCCACGGCAGAGATGCACCTTCCGACAAGGTGCATGTCATGTCGGATATGCTGTGGGGTTGTCTTCAGTCGGTCTTCTCGCCTGTTCGGGTGTTAGTGTACAATTTGTGGTGACATGTTACAACATTCCCGTCTCAATGTGACCCAGTAGCTCGCAAGCGCCTAACTGGGGCAGGCTCGTAGCGGTTGGGTCTCGGGCCTCTGGCTTGGTTTGTCGAGGCCGGGTTTTCTCTAAGGCGAGTCCTGGCCCTGCAGGCTAGTTCTAACCGGGATCAGGGGTTTTAGGGAGTGAGCTCCGGCCGTGAACTCTAAGGTTTGGGCCGGTGCGCCTGACTCCTGGGTCTCTTGGTCTGGAAGACTCAAAGTTCCAAGCCAAGAGAGTAGCAGGAGTTTCTACTTTAGGGGACTAGGATACAAAATAGGAAACTTCAAAAATCAAAAAGGGTGGCTGCCTTGGCAGCGGGTAGGAGCGTCGTTAAGGCACTCGATGGTGAGGGGTTCCCATCTTGCTCGTTCTAAAAGGGGAGTGTGAGGGTTACACGAATATATGACGTAGCAAGTGGGGCTTTAATTACGAGGGACATTTCCTGCATATAAATGGGGATGACAGGCATGATTGTCTAGGAGACTGATTAGGTATCGAGGTAGGTTGGTTGGGTCTGAGCTGGTGACTCTTAGTGGGTTTTAGGCCCTTGGTTCACCTTCCGTGATAGAAAGGGGGACCGCCTCGAGTGGGTGACTTTGGAGGTCCTCGTACTCTGACTCATTGACCTGGGGACGCCGACTCAAATTGCCACGCTCGACGGCGCTGTCGCCCCGGTTTGGTCGTCTACGGATCTGTCTCGTCATTGCCTCCGTGCACCTGTTAAAGCTATCGCGGAGTCGTCTAACCCGTCTATTTAGGACGAAGGCCATGACTACGACCAGGCCGTACCCGAGTCCTACCGCGATGGCCATGACTGTATCGGGGGCGGCCCAGGAGTAGGCTACTGGTTGGTGGTGGATGGTCGGTCGCTTGGCAATCTCTTGAAGGAGATTGTCTACGACCGTAACGTCAACGGTTTGTGCCCCCTCGTAGGTGGCTTGGACTAGGGTAGAGGGTTGAAGTTCCAAGGCCCTTTCCTCAAAGAACTCTGGTATCTCGACCTCTGCCTCGTACTGGTTCGGATACAGGTGGTATAATGCCAGGTCGCCTACGTGCAGGATAGCGTCGGCTGGGACGTCGACCCAAAAGGTTTCGTCCGGGAGGCTTACTCGGGACGAGGTGTCGTGTTTGTCATAGGTCAGGGTCGCCGTTCTAAGGGGAGTGTTCACTAGCCAGCGTGCCCCTACAATCTCTGCTCTAGTTTCGGTTATTTGTTTCCGAGAGGTGACCGTCGCGGGGCATCGACTCCCTGGAGTCATGGGCCTCAGGCCGCAGATGCCATCGGTGCTGTCCCTGACGAAAGGTTTGCTGGGGCAGAGGTAATGGATGTCCTTGGTGAGGGTACACATCCTTAGGTTTGGCGTTAGGTATAAATTGGGGTTACTGTCGTGGTAGGCTACTATGTCTGGGGTCTGGACTCTGACGTGGGCATTGTCCCTCCAAGTCCCTAGGTTAGTGATCCCTTTTAGTCGGTAGATTTTGTCGCCGGGAACTATCGGTAGGGTGACTAGAAAGGCTACCTCGCGGTCCAGAGGATTAACATAGATGGGGACTGCAGCGCCCAGCGTGTACGCTAAGTGGGCTTGCATGGGGGTTACGGCGTCCCGTGTGGCTACGGCTAGAATGTTCTCAACTAACGATAGCGGCACGAGGTATGGCGGGATACGGCCCATGGCTAGGTTTTCGATCGAGGAACTGAGGTGACGTAGCATGTCCTCCATCAGTTGGGTGGTCAGCTGAGTATGGGCGTAGTCTAGTTGGAGGACGTCTAAGAGTTGGTTGACCGCAGCGGAGGTGCGTTTAATCGCAACCTCGTGTGTGTTAAGTACTAGCATGGTTCCTTTTAGGGATTTTCCCAAGGTTACCACGTCGTTCTGTTGTTGGTCAAGTCTGGTTTTGACATCCTCGAGCTCAGAGGCCATTTCTTGTTGGTGGCGTCTGAGGGAGGATAGGCTGATGGCGTTTACCGTGGACATCCCTAAACTAAAGAGGGTGCCCAGGGCGGACGCCGCGCCGAGGAGAGCCCCAATAAATCGTTTGGGTCTGGGGCGAGGGTCACTGAGCTCTGTCCTAGTGATCGTGAACTTCTCTAGTTGCGTCAGCATGTGTTGTATGTCTGCCTCAGCATGCTCCACGACCGTCTGGGTCCAGCGTGCACCTGCCCAATCTTTGAGTGTGACCTTCAAGGGCAGGTTCTTGCGGCAGACTTCACTAGGATTGAGTCTGACAAAGATTCGCTGTGTGTGGAGTCGGACGTCCGTGATGAGGAGCCCGGGTTGTTCCTTTAAAACGATCCCGGAGGCTGGTCCGGTCTCAATAATTTCTGGGGTGCCGAGGCCCAGTATGCAGGTCAGCACGAGAAGGAAAGTGGACCACATGTTCTGCAAGGCGTGAAACAACTGTTAGGGGTTAGACAGGGACAGAGAAAGAGAGAGTCGATTAGTGCAGCCGAGAAGAGTGTTAGTGGGTGCTGGACTAATCGTGTTTGAGGTCACGTGGTGTGTTCCTAACTGGGGTTTGCGGTGTGCCCTACCTGTCCCATGGGGCTTGGTTTGTGTGGTTTGATTTGGTTGCGATGTACCCATTTGAGGGTGGTTTCTCTCCTACCTTTGGTGATTTCGATCTGGTACACCGCGGGTGAGAGCTTGTTTACTACCTTGTATGGCCCTGACCAGCGAGGTAGCAGTTTCTGGCGCAGTCTGGTGGGGCCGGTTCCCATTTGTCCTGGGGGATGTGCAAAGATGTAATACCATACCTGGTCTCCGACCTGGAGCTCGTTGTGGGACGCCTTTTGATCGTAGTAGGCCTTCCGTCCTTCGGCGCTGTTTCCCAGTTTCCGTTGAGCGAACGCGAATGTCTGTTTCAGGTGGTCCTGCAGATCGGTCATGTAGTGATGCGTGGTGTAGGCCGTGGCGATATTTGCTTCGCCTGGCTGGTAGAGCAGATGCAGCGGGAGCGTCATTTGCCTACCTGTCATCATCTCGAATGGGGAGACCCCCGTGGAGCGGTGGGGTGTGGCTCGGATTGCCATCAGGACCAGTGGGAGTTTCACATCCCAGTCCCTCTGGTTTGTAGCTACATACTTCTTTAGTATTTCGATCACCGTCCGATTTGTTCTTTCTACCTGCCCTGAGCTCATGGGGTGGTGGCTCACGTGAAGGGAGGCCCGAACACCAAGTGCTTCCCACAGGTGGGTCATGGCTTCCCCGGTGAAGTGCGTGCCACGGTCCGAGTTAACTCGGCACGGTAGTCCGTATCGTGAGAACACATGGTTCATCAGTAGGCAGGCCGTCGTTTGCGCTGTGTCGTTTGGGGCTGGTAAGCCTTCGACCCATTTGGTGAATGCGCAGGTGACCATGAGGATGTATTTGTTGCCTCGGGTAGACTTTGTTAAGGGGCCCACCCAGTCGATCTGGAGGTCCGACCAGGGGAAGGTTATACCTCTGGACTGTAGGGGGGCCCGGTGTAGTGGTCTTGTTGGTTGGAATTGGCAGCACACGAGGCAGCCCTCGACGTATTGCTTGGTGTCCTTTTGCATGTTTGGCCAGTAGGCCACCTGTTGTAGTGCCTGGTGTGTGCTGTTTATACCTCTGTGTCCCGCGGAAGGTGCGTCATGGGCGTGTGCCAACATTACCCCCCTCATGCTTTGAGGCACCACGAGCACGGGCGAAGTGAGTGCGTTGGAAGCATAGACCAGAAGCCCATGTCGCATGGACAGCCTCTCTCTATGGCGCCAGAGTTTCCGGAGCGTTGCGTCGCTTGACAGCGTGTCGGGTGTAATGTCATGGCCGTTCGGGTCGTTCGTGGCATCGATGAGGCGTTTCAGCGTGGGGTCCGCATTTTGGAGGGACACCAGGTCAGACCTGTCGAAGGCAGGGGTCGTGTGTGCTGGCGTGACGTCCGGAGTTGGCTGCTTTGTAGGCGCGTTGGCCCTCGTGACCGCACATACTGCGGGGGCGGGTCGCTCCTGGGCGGGTGTCTCAGGTAATTGCTCCTGGAAATGCCATTCTGTGCCGTCCACGGCGCCTTGTTTGGCCAGGCTGTCGGCCATGTCGTTCAGCTCTTTGTCCATGCCAGGCTCCCGTGAGTGGCCCCGGACCTTTTTCCAGTAGATCTGCATGTTGCGTTCCGTGACTATCTTGTCGCAGGACATAAACAATTGTTTGTGTTTGACCGGCTTTTTGCTGGAGGTGACGTAGTCATTTTTCTTCCATAGAGGCAGGTGGCAGGAGAAGCTGAGTCGGGCGTAGTTAGAGTCTGTGCAGATCACCATGGTGTCGATTCCGTATGACACGGCATGCTGTAGTAAGATTAGTATTGCGGCAATTTCCGCATATTGCGAAGTTTGGGGCCCCAGGAGGAATTTCTGTGGGGCGCCGGGCTCGTCGCCCTTCCACACAATGCCGACACCGGCGCGTTTGATGGTTTCGTGGTGGAAGGAGCAGCCATCCACGTATGCAGTTGGCAGGCCGTCACATAGATTCTGGTCGAAGTAACAGTGTTGTTGTGGCTCGAGTGGGGTGGGTAGCAGCTCCAACTTGGTCCCGGCTGGTTTGTCCACGATGCAGTCTTGGCATTCTGCCAGTCCCATCCCGAGGTACGACCTGTGTTTTTGTGCGTATGACACCTGGAGGTCGAAGCTTTGTAATGCCATCAGCCAGGTGGCTACCCTAGCGTTTGTGACGATACCGTCTCTGAGCCTTTGGCTGGCGAGGAATGTCACCGGTTGGTGGTTCGTGTTGACGACCACTGTTTGGTTGCCAATGTAGTTTGAGAAGTGTCTCACCGCCCAGACGGTGGCCAGCAGGGATTTTTCGCAGTCCGAGTATTTCGTCTCGGGCGCGGCCATCGTCTTGCTGGCGTAGGCAATGATTCTTTTGTCGGAGTCGTGAGTTTGGTATAGGCCAGCGCTGAGGCTGTGCTCGGAGAACCCGATTTCCAAGAAGAATGGTTTGTTCGGGTTCGGGTACACCAGGCACGGGGCCTTTCTCAATCGGTCGAGAAGGGCCTTCATGGCCTCGTCGTGGCTGTCTTCCCAGACGAACGGGGTGTCCTTTTTTAAGAGGTTCGTCAGAGGTTTTGCTATTTCGGCGTAGTGTTCCACAAACTGGCGGGAGTAGTTGCACACTCCTAGCAAGCTGCGTAGTTCCGAGATGTTTGTGGGCGTCTTTAGGTTCGACAGGCCTTGGGTCCTGTCAGCTTGCGGTTCCACGCCCTCTGGTCCGACTAGGAGGCCTACATAGTTCACCTTGGTGCGGCACCATTGGCATTTACGTAGCGACACTTTCGCTCCAGCCGAAGTTAGTTGGCCCAGGACGTGGTCGATTTCCACTAGGTGTTCCTCGAAGGAGGTGGTTCTCAGGAGGACGTCATCCACGTAGATTAAGGTGCCCCTGCTGGCTGCATCCGGGCAGGCCTTGTTCAGGAAGATGTTGAACTCTGCTGGTGAGTTTGAGAGTCCAAAAGGGCAGCGTGTGAAGGTGTACTGCTTGTTGGCGAAGCTGAAGGCCAATTTGTGTTGGTCTTGTGGGTGTACCGGTATCGTCCAGAAGCCTGAAGCGATATCGAGCGTGGAGAAGAACTTTGCGTCCCTAACTTTTGGTAGGTCCTGGCCCAGTTGGGTCATTGGCCATCTGGACAGGGGAATCTGCGTGTTGAGGCGGCGGTAGTCGACGGTCAGTCGCCACTTGCCGTTGGGCTTGAGCACCGGCCATATAGGGGCAGAGTAGGTGCTGTTGCAGGGTCTTATGACCCCTTTTATGAGGAGGTCGTCTATAATGCCCTGTACCGGTTTATACGATGCCAAGGGAATTTTGTATTGGCGGACGTAGGTCGGCGGGGCGTTGGGTTTAGACGGGATGCGGACTGTGTGAATGTTGGTCAGACCGCAGTCCGTTGCGTCTGTGGCGAAAGAGGATTTGTATTTCATCAGCACCTGGCGGAGTTTAACTCTTTCTCCGTCAGTGTTGATGGCATCCGCTAACGCCACTGTTTTGTCCAGCTCCTCCTCGAAGGAGGGGCAGGCGGTGGGTTCTTGCGTTGGCTCGTGAGCCACTTGGGTGGGGAAGGTGTCGACCCCCGAGTCTATGACTGAGATGGTTTGTAGGACCATCTCCGACTGGTTAGTCAGGTCGACTCTATACACGTCGCTGGATTTGGGGCCGGGTATCGTGAAGAGTGAGATTGACCTTGATGGTTTGGTGAGCAGGGCCCGCGCATCGGGGTCTCGGTCCAGCCCTGTTGGCCAGTCCCCTATCACTGGGAGGCGTAGGTCGAAATCGTGGAACGTAGTGTCGATCAGCCAACCCAGTGGGGTGCCCCGCGGTATGAGGATGGCGTCCCCTGTGGTATTCAGCACCTTAACGTGCGCCCTGCGGCCTTCCAGCCGTAGGAGGGGGGTTGCCTCTGTTTGTAAGCCCAGCGTCAGGAAAAGGTGGGACGGTTGGAAGAAAACCTGGGAGTTGCTGGTCATTTGGCCAGGTAGGACTACCAAGCCTAGTGGCGCGGACGTGTTGGGTGGCAGCGAGAGGTGGTTCTGCGCTGCCACCTGGCATACCTCCGGTATGGTCTGGCCCGATTTTAGATTGTCTAGCGGGGGGGTCTCGGATTTATCCGTCACGGTCGTTAGCGACCAGAGGACGTTGTTGATCGTGTCTATTTGTGTGTCTAAGCGAGTCAGGACGTCGCCGCCGATGACTATCGGGTGCGGCAAGCCTTTGACGACCGAGAACGTGTGCCTAAGCGTCTTGTCGTGTATCTGCAAAGCGAGCGAGCAGAATCCTACAGCTGGGAGCACGTCCGTGGACCGGTGGTCCTTTGGGAAGCGCGAGGCCTTCCTCACAAATGGTAGTTTTGGTGAGTTTTGGGCCAGCGTGTGGAACACGTCCTGACTGACCGCGGATTTGTCCGCCCAGTAGGCGAGGGCGGCGACCGGGAAGTTCGCGCCTTCCAAGATTACACCGGCGTTTATGGTGGGTGAGTCCGAATGCGCGGATGGCGTGAAGGCGCACAGGAAGTTGGCGCCGGTACTCGTCGGGAAGTCCTGGCGACCGGTTTCGGCTAGTGCCATGGTCGGCCTTCGTTCGGCCGTTGGTGGCGTCTCCACGAGGTAGCAGTGGGTTTCGCTCAGTGTGCGTGGGATGGGTAAAGGCTTTCGGACCTGGGCCCAGATCTTTAGGCGCTGGAAGTCTATCAGGGGCTCGAAGCGGTTCAGGAGGTCCTGGCCCAGCAGGAGCGGGATAGAGTTGAATGGGGAGATGTAGACCGGGTGGACCAGCGTCATGGGGCCCACCGTGAGTTGTATTAGCGCCATTTTGTGTATGGTGGTGTTCACTTGGGAATAGGGTCGTATTTCCAAGTTACACAGTTGTGTCTTCAGGTCTCTGTGGGATTGTCTTGCCAATGACTGTAACTTACCGAAGAGGTCGCCGGCAATCAGGCTGATGTCGGCGGCTGTGTCAATGAGCGCTTCGTGTTCCCATTGGTCCTCGAGTGTCACGGACAAGTAGAGTTTCCTGTTGGCTCCCTTCTGTTGTAAATCGCCAATGAACTGGTGGAATGGTGGCTCGCACCTGATTGTCGAGGGTCCATCCCCCCGCGGGTCGGTGATCGAACTTACCTGTACCACCATGACGTCTCTTTGGTCGCAGTAGGCGTCTTCATCATGGGGGTGGGGCTCCCAGGTTTCCTCGCCCAGTTCGTTCTGGAGTTCCTCCAGTATGTGTGGGTCAGAGTAGTCGTCGTCCAGCTCTTGTTCGCTGAGGTCGTTGTTTACCCGGTAGGGTGCGTCCTTTGCCTCATCCGGCACGGACACTGCGAACACGTCGGCGTTGTCCGTCCTCCTTTCTTTGGCCTTGCGCAGGAGCGTTCGGAGGAGGGACTGCTCCTCTCTGGAGAGGTTACTTTTATCTATGGTAGTAGCGGTGCGGTCTTGGCGGGATCGTTGTGGCGTTCGGTCTTTCCCGTCGGCTTGGCCGGCGCGTCTCTCACCGTATTGCGGGAGTTTCTGGTCGCGTGGCTGTACGCTTTTTGTTTCCGCTTGTCTCTGGTTATTCCTTTGGGGTCTGTGGTTTGGTTCCCATTTTTGTTTTGGGGTCGTTGGTGCGCCTTCAAGTTCCATGTGGTTGTCCACACTGTACACCGAAGGTTGGGTTTGCGGTTTAGCCTGTGTCTTGAGCAGATGCTTGCCTTGTGCCCGTGCCACTAGGGTCTTCAGTTGTCGTATGTCCTGCGTAAGGGGGCAGGCGTACACGCCCAGTAGTTGGCTAAGGTTGGGGTGGAGGTTTTGGAGGTACAGGGCCCTGAAATTTGTGTCTTCCTCCATCCCTTCGTAGTTCCGGTTACCGAAGAAGGCCTGTCGCAACCTGTGGTAGTAGCATTCCGCGAGCTCGTTGTGAGCTTGTTTGACCGCCATGGCCGCCGTGAGGTTCCCGGAGGCGCCGTAGTCTGAGTATTCTGCTAGGATGGCTTTGCAGAGCTCGTTGTAGTCATGTCTTATAGCCCTTGGTTGCCTCTCGATGAAGTCATTCACCTCTCCGTTGGACGTGAGTCTAATCAAGTATATTTTGTCATCTTGAGACGCGTGTGGTATGCGGTCGGCGTGGAAGTCGACGATGCGGAGGTATGACCGGGTGTTTGTAGGCATGCCGGGCCGGGGGTCGAAGCGGGTTATGTGTCTAGCTATGCGGTCGAAGTCGCGGTCGGATGGTCCGAGCGGGTCGCGACCTATCGGGGGCGCGTAACGGGCGTCTCGTCCTCTATGGTCCGGGTAGTACCGTTGCCCTGGGGTCAGGTCCTGGCGTGCGTCCGGGGGGGTGCTGTGGGGTTGTCCTCCATGATTGGGGAGGTCCCCGGCGTTCCCGTGGAGGGTCACTGGCCGTTGTGCCGCAGCATGTGCGGGCGGCCCAGGCTCAGAGTACCGTATGTCGTGTGGTCCATGTAGCATGTACTGATGTGGGCCAGGGGGAACGTTGTAGGGTTGTCCGCCATGTTCAGGGCGGGCCCTTTCGTCCCAATGGCGGTAGTCTGGAACATGTCTCGTATGGACGTCAGGTGGGTCAGAGTCATGGGTCGGGTAGCCATGTTGGCTGCGTCGCATGTCCATTTGTGTTCCCGGAGGGGCGACGTGGGAGTCCCGTCCCTGGTTGAGGTGGTCTCCACCGTCCCAATGGCGGGCTGTCGGCCGTTGTTCGTCGCGGTCCATGGTCGGTCCGTGGGTATGGGTCTGGTGGCCATGCGTTTCGTGTTTAACGTGTCTGTGCGCTGCGACGGGTCCGGCCGGGGGTTGTCTCTCATAGGCGGAGGGGTCCCCGTGGGCCCGTGAGCGGTCTGTCACGTGGTACGTCGCCTGGTTCGTCGGTGGGCCGAGTCCGGGGTCAGCGTGGTCGATGTGTCTAATGTAGTGTTGAGGGTAGGCTGTGGTTGCGGGCGGTCCCGTTGTATGGTGGGGTCTGCGCGCAACGTGATCGGGTTCCTCGTCGACGGACCGTTGGGACCTGTTCCGATTGTAACTGTCGGGTTGTGTATCGTGCCTTTGGTTCTGGTCTTTTCCCGTGATGATACTTACCAGTTCGGCCACGCTCCTGCGTTCACTCTCGGACGATGGACCGCCACGGTCGGAGTGAGGGGAGTGTGCGCCAGAGGCACTGTCACGGCCGGTTTCGTTCGAAATAGCGGCCCTGATTCTTGCTGCGCGATCCGGGTCCATGGTTGCGCTTGGAATCGTGTTAAGTCCCGATTGGTGGTTTCCACTTACCTGTTGGATTGGTTCCAAGCGGGTCGCGGCGGACGTCTTAGCTTCCGCTAGTTGTCGTTCCAGGTCACCTACCGTGCTTTGAAGCCTCTGGTTTTGGGCTTCGCAGTCGCGTAAGGTTATCCTGGAGACCGCGGCTAGCTGTCCCAGCCACTGGGTCAGGGGCTTACCTTCCAGTTTCTTCTTGATAGCCTCGGATGCCAATGAGGAAGTGGCATCCAGTAAGTCGGAGGGTGAGCCGTGCTCAAGCGTATCGTAGGCCCCTGGGGATAACTTCTCTGTGAAGTCGCGCAGAAGGTTATCCACTACGTCGTGTTCCTCCACGACGCTATCGTGTTCGCTCGGTCGTGGCGAGTTTCCGCCATTGGTTTCCATATTTGTGTGGGTGAGTGTATGCGAGTATGACTTGGAACGTGTGTGCATGACACAGTGGGAGGGGGAAAGGAGGAAAGCGGTGTCAATAGCAACCAGTTTTTTTGTACTCGGTACTTCTGAGATCTGACAGGATTAGGAACACGAATTCACCATGCAGGTGGCTATTCCAATAATCTATAGAGAGGGTAGCACAGCTATTTTCCTGAGATGTTGCTGTGGCCACTCCAGTATGGAGATTACTGCTGCAATTACTGAATGCCCTCTCTAGATTGTTCTCTGATCTCCTACTAATTCTGCAGTTTTTTTGGTTGTCAGGATTTAGCAACATGAGACGGATCGTGGTGTGCCAAACTCTGGGAAGTTTATTTAAGTTGCTCTCAAGTTCCACTGGTTTACTCTGTTTCTTTCCTCAGACAAGAATAAAGGCAGTACACAGTTTATATAGTCCATTGTCACGTCACACATCGAAAGACATACGTGTCACAAAGAGACAGTCACATCATAGTCATAACATGGAGTCCTTGTAGAGTCCTTGTACAGTCCTGCACGTAGGCCATATTGCTATCTAATCTAATACCCTCCCTTTGATCACATAATCACATGTGATCACTCAATTTGATCAATCATATAAAGTGGAGAAAAAGAAAAGAAAAAAAAAAAAAAAAAATTCAAAAAAAAAAACTTTCAAAAATTATTAAAAACAAAGAAAATGTATGCCATTAAACTCAATAATCATCGTAATCAATATCAGTGGATTTTATCCTCTATCGCTGGGAAAAAACTAAAAACAAAAATACTAAAACAATAAAGGTAAATAAACAAACAAAAAACAAATAAAAAATAAAAAACAAACAAAATAAAAACAAACAAATATTGGACACACAAGAACCTCAGCAGATTCAGTCAAAATCACAGACAATACGAGCTGAGTCTCAAATTAGAAGATAATTTCACGTTTATTTACTCTATACTTTTATTCTAATGCTTAATTGTTTACACTACACTTCACTTATTGCACTGTAATATTTTCACTTTTTAATCTTTAGACTGGGTACCTGGTACTCTCTATTCTCTATAGTTTAAAACTATTCTAATCTATTCACAAATATGTTTGCCTATTTGCTTCTATTGAGCCTATTCTTAAAACATACATTTTAAACTAATAAATCTCTCTGTGGTTTTCACACTCTCATTATCAGTGGCATATTCTCAGTGGCTTTGCTCTATTGTCTGATCTCATTCTCAGGAATAAACTGTGAACACAGAAAGACAAAATGGTCCAACATTTTACACTTCTATAGTGGTCAGTTTGATTTATACTTTTTATTATTCTAAATATATTATTGGTCAGGCATTTGGGATGGGTACATCATTAATCAAATTTAGTATGATCCTAATAGTAGGCTATTTAGGTTTGGGGTTGGGGTCGTTATTCTACAATGGTGTTTTTGTGGAAACTTCTCAATATCTAAATCTCTACTATTGTGTTTTTGTGCTATACACAATACATCTAAACGCTTTTAAATGCTTTTGAATCTCTGTTGGTTGTAATCTATCTCATTAATTAGGCATTCATCTAGGCAACACTATATGAACTTTTGTATTGTCAACATTCACTCATGTGTGAAACACAAGTGAATTTGGCCAGTATCTATAAAACTGTCATAAAAAAACTGTAAGTAACTTTATCTACTTTTGAAGTAATGCTTGTGAAAATGGTCCTTGCCATTTGATATTAGCACTGGCCTAAGTTTAATCTCTATTTTGGAATGCATCTATGGTTGATGCATTATCTAATTCTAAATTTACCACTATTTTTTAACTCCAAAGCTCGGCTGCAGCTTGAGCAACGGCATATTTCTAATGTGTGACTTCTGTCACTTTTAATGGCTGTTAACATAACTTGATTCTAATATTCTAGCTGATTTTCAAAAGGATAACATGTAGCGGTAAACTAATTTTTAACTCTTCCGTGGAAATATGTTTATGAACAACAAAGGAAGTCAAATCTACTACTTTTTACTACTATTTAACATTACTAAACGCTTACAATACTCATACTTTTCTCATTTTAAAACATTTTAACTGTTGCTCAGTCTCCAGACTAAAAAAGTCAAATCTTTTGTCTGTCAGATGTCTGAATACTTAACTAGTATATTGCATGTGTCACAAGTTGTGGTTCTGGTTGTAGCAAAAGGCATCGGCAATAGACGATTTCTCATGGCTGGTTCTTGTTCTGCAAGATGGGCTGTGTCCAATAGATCATCAGATGTCCAGAAGCTAGGACAAACAAAACAAAAGAAAGAAATCCATGGAGTATCTGTCGCATTTAGCACTAGCAAGTATGATTTAAAAAATATAAACATCACTCCCCAGTTTTCTCTCAGGGTTCAGGTCCTCTGGGGTCCCTGAGGGTGAGTCCTCAGTCTTCATCAGGTCAGGTCATAGAGGATGTCATCTTGGTCATCAGTAGGGTCAATCCATGGTTTGGTCTCTCAGATGCACATCAGGATCTCCAGATTACAGTCTTTTTCACTTGAAGCACATCAGGTCATTTGCGATGCACTTCTGGTCAATGGGTGCAGTGTACTCTGTTCCTGTCACAGCTTGTTATGCAATAGTTACTCTCTATGGTTAAGTCATTTTGATTCTACTTTAACACAATTTCTATTCATGCGGTTGCTAATGTCCCTCAGGACAAAAAGCAAGCGCAGTGTACATCTCTAATTTGTGTTTTTATCATATTAATTTATCAATGTAATTACTTCCACACAGTCAAAATCAACAAAATCCAAAAGTGTCAGGACAGAGGTCAATTATGTCCATGACAATATAGAATTCAAATGAACATTTCTGTCTCAAAAATACAGATTCAACTTAAAGATTAAGTGATAGACAATTAAAATATGTGTTTACATTGGAGTAACTTTAAAATGCTTTTTTCTCTGGTTCTGCTTTTTCAATGTATCTATATGTAAATGAGAATGTGTGTGTGTAGATGTATGTGATGTGTGTGTGTGTGTGTATGTGAATTTTGGGGTTGTTTCTCAAGACTCCTCGAACCACCTGGAGGTGTCAAAGGTCCACTGTTTGTGATGTAAACCACGTAGGACACACTTTCAACTCCCTCTAGGTCTCTACCTGACGCTCACCCACTCCGTCTCCAGATACCTCCTTTCTTGGCCCCGTCTCTCTCACACCCACTCAGTTCTGCAGTGGCGTGGGGAGGGGCAAGGAGGTGGCATTCCCTTTTGCTCTTTGATCTGTGACCTGTGGCTGGGTGGCTTTGCGCGGTCAGTGGCAGCAAGTCCCGGTGACCCTGTACAGTGTGTTGCTCTGGGTTCTGGCAAAAAACAAACCTTATAGTCAAATTTAAAAACAACAGAGATTGTGATGAGATTGTTTTTCTCTCTGAAGTCAAAACAATTGAGCGCTCTGGGTTTTCCCAAGCGCTAGTAAAATAAAAGATTACTTATTATCTTTCTAATGATGCATTTAAACCCGAAACTCTCAATATAAAAAAACATGACTCAAATCTCTTAAAACCTTCTTAAACTTTAAAAATATGTATTATGTACTTTTTGTTACTGTGTTGATTTAATTATCTGTGCAATTTCTCTCAGATTATTTTACTTATTTAAAATAATTTGCGGCATTTTTCAAATGAAGTCAGTATGAATTGGAGCACATTTTGACCAGTCTCCTCTGCGGTGGCGAGTTGTATCCAGCAGGAGCAACAAGGGTCAGGTGTGTAGTCAAAAACCAAAACAAAAGTCACCATTGCATGTGAATTGGGTAGTTTAACTTAATGAATATAATACTTTTACAGCCTAATTCCCTCTTTTCTTTTTTAGACGAAGTCTTAATTCAATAATACTTTAACAGATTCTAATTTATAATGTTTGAAAAAGGCTTTTGAACTAAAATAAAAAAATACATGAAAAAAATTATCACAAACAGCTATGAAAATATATCAGAGATACAATAGGACTCACAAAATAAGCAGCAGATTTAAAAAGAAAAGCAAAGCTTTTTGTACTAATCTTTGGATTCAATAAACATACTATATTCAAAACTTCTATTCCCTAATGGGTGTTTAAAAACGTTGTAATGTGTCTAACACAATGTTAAATTGCAAATTAGCAAAATTTAACGGAATAAACAACTT